ACGAGGTGGCGCAAAGAAAGTCGAGTCCCGGCTGGGCGACCGGTGCCACCATCGGGAGGCCAGTGTTGCTGGGGTGCTGTGGCGCCGACTGGCCAGCGCCGTCGGCCCCAGCAACCGAGTGCGGATGACCCGAAGCCATGGGACTGTCAGATGGCCCGGCCAAATTGCTGTAGGTCGAGTAGACCGGAGCCTGAGCGATCAGCTGATGGGCCTGTTTGAGTGCCGACATCGAGGCGGCCGAGGAGGCCGGCAACTGTAGCGGCAGTGAGACTGCCGCCTGACAACTGGTTGCCGTGCTAACTGGCTGTTGCAGATTGATGTGACTCGTCTGCATCAGACCCAGCATGGCGCTGGCCAATTGCGGATCAGCCACATAGCCTCCGGTCGTGGTGGTGGTGGTTGTGTTGTTGTTGTTGTTGTTGTTGTTGGTGTAGGCTATAGCCGGCCCGGGATGACCTGTATCCAGGGGGACGGAGGGGTAATGGAGCCCGTTGACGAGCGAGTGATGCCGACCGCCGGCGTGCGCTTCAATCTGAGGAGATTGTGGCGTTGTGATGAGAAGGGTAGAGGATGCTAGGCTTGACGGTGCCAGCGTGGCTGGGGGCTGGTGCAGCAACCTTGGCGAAGGCTTCAACAACGGCTCCAATTGGAAGGAGTCCTTGTCGTTGGCGTACAGTGAGCCGGTCTGATTGAGCTCTCCGATCAGGCCGGAGACGGTGGCGGTGCTGCAACTGCCCAGCGTGGTGGGGGCCATCTCTGCCTGTGGCGAGTGGCTTGTGTGATGCAGGCTGTGCTGCTGGTGGAGACGACGGTGGCTCTGGTAGCCGCCAGACGCAATGTCGTCGGACAGCCCAGCCGCATGCTTCTTCAACAGGTGGCCGTTGTGCTGGCGATAGCAACGATACGAGATGAGCATCATCAGCAGCGCCCAGAGCAGGAGACAGCCGACTATTGTGCCAATGAACCATGGCTGGCGAAAGAAGATGGCCTGACCGTCTGCGGTTGCTAGGGTGGAAACGGACGACAACCTAGGCGAGGCGGTCGACTCCGGGCCGAGAGGGAGACCGGTGTCCGGGTCAAAGCCCCAGCCGACGCCGAGCCCGACGTGTCGGAGACGAGGCGTCAGCTCGAGCGCTTCGCTGCGACCTCCGCCTCCTTTGCAGTTCTCGCTGGCCATCTGGACGACGTAGAGATGGCGAGGCGAGGCCAAGCGTTCGAGGAGGATTTCGCGTTGGTCTCGATGCACCGTCAACTTGCGATGACCCTTTGTCTGTTCGTCGTAGACGAAGACGAAGTAGCCCTTGAGCAGGCCATTCCACGTCCGAGCCCGTGGAGGTGACCAGCTCAGACGGAGGCTGGAGTTCGAGATCCACACGCCCCGAAGACGTTGCGGTGGCGCACCCGGCGGGCTTTCGTAGGTAAGCACAGTGCGTGAGACGCTTTCGCGGCCCTTCACATTGCCGACGAGTGAGTTGATCGAGTAGGGCTCCACTTCGATCTCGTAGCAGGTGAAAGGGTCGAGATCACGCAACAGCTCCTGCTCCTGATGCCGAATCACCTCGGCGACGGGATCCATTCCGCCTGCGTGTCTGGAAGAGGCCGAAAGTCCGAGGCCTCGATGCGTCGGCTTGACATCTTTGCTGCGCTCGATTGGGCCGCGAGTTCGAGCCGCCTCCGGCTTGACCGGCTCCAGGCCGGCCGTCTTTTCATCCGATCCCGTCGCCCTGGTCGCGGCGTGCAGTTCGGCCATGTGATCCTCGAGCTGTATCAACTGTTGCATGGAGCGCAGACTGGCCAGCAATTGACGCGGATCGGCCACGCCCGTCTCGGGGCCCGGTCGGAGGCTGCAGAAGTCGTTCTCGGCCGTTTGACTGAACGACACGGCCACCGAACTGTCGCCAGCCTCGTCTGCCAGCCCGGCACCGAGTCTGTCGGTCAGCGGCTCGTTGAGCCGGCCCGAGGCGACGCAGCGCATCAGCGCCACCTCTCGGTACCGGATGGAGTAGCCGCCGATGACGCTGAGGACGGCCGCGTGATCCTGCACCGTCCAGGCGACCTGGACGCGTGTGGCCGCCACCGGGCGCACGTGAAGCTGATGTACGTCGAGGCGCTGGATAAGGCGGATCACCTCCTGATTGGTCAGCTGCGGTCTGGCCTCGAGTCCGGCGCGCGACTCGACCTCGGCCAGCGTGTGCACCGGGCCGAGCGGCGCCGACGCCCAGCCGACCCGGCCGTGGCGCCAGCGCGGCCGGATCAGGAAGTAGTAGACGGTGTGCGGATTGAGATCGCCCAGTTGGACCGTGCTGGCCGGCCAGTTCTTCTCGACCACCTGCCAGCCCAACGCGGGCACATCGGGCCGGTACAGCTCGACCCAGTAGGTGATGCTGGGCTCGCCCGGTGGCGGCGAGTCGTGCATCATCGGCGCCTCCCAGGCCAGGATCACGCTGGTCGCCGTCACGTTGGTCGCCATGAGATTGCGCGGAGGCGGCAGCGGCGCCGGCACCGGATGCACCAGCGACTGGTGCGCCACCACCGACAATTGGGCCGTCCAGTTGGACTGCAACAACAGCGGCGGCCCACCGGCCCCGGGTCCGAGTCCGGCCGGCGCCGAGCCCGTCTGGCCGGCCGGACCGGGCAGCCACACGCTGGCCAGGCAGGTGTAGCGGCCCGCGTCGGTCGGCTGGAGACGGAGGATCTGCAGGATGCCGTCCGGCTTGACGAGGTACCGGTTGTTGGGCGTCGCCTCGTCCAACTGCTCGTGAAGACCGCCGGTGGCGCGAGTGGCACGCAACCAGACGACCCGAGGCCCGACGACGACGCCCGAGCGACCGGCAGCGCCGGGCAACAGGCCGTTGGGTTGTCGTGTCGCGCCGAGGTCGCATTGAAGCGTGGCCGTTTGGTCTAGCAACAGTGTCTGGTTGGCCGGCGGCAAGATGATGACGGGCGCGATGACATCGTCGAGCCGGGGCGAGAGGAGACCGAGCCCGTCGAGGTGGCCCGGTTGTCCGTGTTGGCCGGACTGGCCGGGCCGGAAGACGCCTGGCGGTGGTACAGGCGGTCTGTGGCGCGCCGGTAGGACACGGAGCAGAGCGGACGAGGAGACAGTGTTGACGGAAGAGTGTGCCGTGCATGTGTACTGGCCCTCGTCGGCCCTGGTCGCGTGGAAGATGACCAAACGGCCCGAGGGATGCAGCAGATACTTGGCCGGCTGGTCGCCGACCGCCTGGCCGTCCTCGGGCGGGAAGAGCGGCAGTT